CCTTTGTTTTTCTTCTATTGTCATCGTTAAAAATACATTGACAACTCATGGAAACTAAACAAAAGACAAATAAACTGACAAATGTATATAAAATAACGTGTTCCAATGACCATTTTGTTGAGAATACAAACATAGGCAATAGAAGCTACTCACTTTGCACTTTGTTAAGGTAGGATCAATATTTGAACCTATAATTCATTCATGCATTCATTCAGTATATATTTATTCAAGTTCTCCTATGTGCCACTGAAGCAGCACATTTTGATTATCTGTAACAAATAATTTATATAAATTCAAGGGTATATTAGGAAAGAGAAAGAGTAGTCTATTGTGGTGGCACATATGTGTCATCCTTTCAGTTGGAGGCTGAGACAGGATTTTGAGAAATTCAAGCCATGCCTTAGTTACACAAACACATCCTAGAAGACCTAGTGGGGCGGCCTGGGGGTGGGGTACAAATTGCCTAGGAGTTAATGCTCAAATGAGTTTAATTATTTTGACTATATAGTAAAACTGAAGAAATCCAATTGCTTAAACTATAACACAAACTAGCTAAATATTTGATTTTAGTATTATTGATTTATACCATATATAAATGTTTACATATTTTATTCTTCTTCTTTTGTAGAAAGTGAAATATTTCAGGGCTGAGGGTGGAGTGAACTTTCTAAAAGTTTCTCAAATATTCTATTTAGCCCAAAAAGCCAGCAGCCTCCACCCACTTATGGCAATGTGTTCAAAGTGCAGTACTGCAAATCCTGTTTAATTCCAAAGTACTGCAAGTCAGATTTAGTCCTTGAGCTACATGCTGTAATTAATGTCATTGAAAGACATGCCAAGGAAACAATATTGTTACTGAATATGTAATTTCCCAAGTTTCAAAATTATATTTTCCTTAAAATTCATGGTTAATCTTTTGGGAAATCAGAAAGCTATCAACCACAAATAGGAAAAACAGAAATTTCAGGCAGTATATGCTAATTCTCATGATAAAAAGTGAAATGATATAAAAGAAGCATGTGAAATGGATTGCGTATGTAAATAATGTTAATTTGTATATTATTTTATATCAATTATCTTTAGAGCAATTTTATATTTAAAAACTGATATAAAATGGTATAAAATATCAAAGAAAGAATAACAGACTTTTTAAGATCAAATAATGCTACCTTATTTGTCAAAAAGATAAAAAGCCTATGGTCACCCAGTCATTATCATTCTATTAATAGCATCATCATCATGTTCCATGGTTCTTCTATTGTAAACATATTATCAATTATATCAACCATCTTTTGTTATAATTCTTTCAATTTTAATGTAATATAAATCAGCAATCTACTTTCAGGCCTGCCATATAAGCAAACACACATGATTATAAAATAATAAGCTACTTCTAACAACACGAACTCCAGATGTTTATTTCACTGGACATTTCATTTATAAGATTTTTTTTAACCCCAGGGAATAGAAAAGATCTTATAAAACAAAACTGTAATATTCTTTTATTTGAAAATCAGTTGCTATAAATTAGGAAAATCATGTACAAACCATCTCCATTTGGCAAAAATTAATCGCTAATTTTTTCCAACATAGAACACCCTATTTCCCAGTCATCGTCTCATGTCTTCAAGCTTCTGTGTTTTGACCTTTAACATAGGAAATTACAGGATGAAGGGGAGCGACAATTTACAATGAGGCAGAATTCTCTATTGTAATTGCCAATTTCCCTGGAATCCTTTCTCATTTGTTTGCTTTTATTCTGTCATAGTTGTTTATTTCCTTAGTAATGAAAACTAATGAAATTGGATTAAAATGTCAAAATAACAGGAAATGAATAACCAGTGTTTATATTTCTCAAAAGATCTGACTTTCCAGTCCCTTAAATAGAAAATGTAAGCCACATGCAAGGGAATCTACAGAAGTGAAAACCAGATTAAACTCCCATGTTGCTGAAAAATGTCATTTTTATTTTTAACCTCCAATTCTATGAATATTTTTCCTTCATTTCTTTCCCAAGCTATCCATAAAATGCCACAATTTAACTCTTCCCTAAAGTTTATTTTCACCTTCCTTCTTTTAAATATTTCATGTTTCTGGAGATTTATATATGTCATTTAATTTATGAAAAAGAAATAAGAATTGAGTGGAATCATATAATTATGTTTTTTTCTCAACATAATCTTATTTCACAACTATTAAGCGTCCATAAATTGTTACATTTTCTCGAATGATACTAAGAGCAGAACATATTGATGCTGGTCATTTCAAATGCTGCCATATTTTATATACTTCCCCCAAAAAAGATAACATAAATATAGAAACAAGACAACACCCAGAAAATAAGAAAATATTGGCTTATATTCAGAAAGCCTGGTAGAGTGTTACCTTAATACCACACACAGTCTGAACCTATGTGTACTCGATTACCACAAGATAAAAGTAATACCTTAAAGGTGATGCTTGGTTGCTGGAAGAACACATTGCAAGTGAGTACATTCTGTTGTATGACAAGCAGTGCTATCCAATATAGCCATCACCTGCCAGGCATAGTTAATGGCCACTGGAACAGAAAGCAAGCCAGAGCATAGAAAATAAAAATGGCAATTATCTGACTGGGAATTTCATATTATTTTTAAATGACAATATTTGATATATTTGGTTAAGTGAAATGCATTAAGTTTAATTTCTCAAATCTTTTCCCTTTTTAAAGTAGGTGCATTAAATTGCAAATGCTGTTTGGATTATGCTTCGATTAATAATATTCTAATGCAAAAACTGAAGGAGTTTCCTTTTACATGGAAAGTGGTTACAGAAATAGAAAAGTATGGTCTGGCAGCATTCCTGTCTCTGTTATGGAGAAGTTTCTGGTTATATGTTTTAACTTAAGGTGATTACTCAGAACATGATTTCCAATATATGCTGAAAAGTAGATTCTCCTGATACAGCATATGACAAAGTAGTCATGGCTTCATTCACATATAAGCAAGTAAGAAATTTCATTCTGAGCCAGAGTCACATTATGCAGAAGAAAGAATGTTGCAGGAACACCAAAGTAAAATGGTCACAAAAATTATATACATCTGTTTGACATTCTCTTTTAGGTTTCAAAAAACACGACTAAAATATATTTAAAGCTGTTTAGGCAGCATGGAAAAATTCTTGAATATAAAAATACATGTAATTGGTAAAATGCTAGCCATTTTAAAAATTAAAGAACAAGAATAATGTTGCCATTTCATATTTCCCAATCATTATCCTTAAATACAATTTTATTTTACTTTTATTTAAATCTTGGGCAAAAGAGGAGATGTAAAAATTAAATGGGGATTTCCATTTGTTACATACAGACAATTTTATCTTGATCTCATCCTTACCTGAAAAGTGTCCTCTAAAAGAGTTTGTAGGACCAATAGAAGCATGCTGTAAGTGGAGAAGGCAAGTGAGTGCTATCAGAGCATGCTATCAGAACCCTGGCATGGAGGTGATATTAAAATGTGTGTAGTCTAACTAATTGTGCTACATCATTGGGTAAGTTATGAAGATAGTGATTTTTTTCAGGGACAAAAACTTAATGTGTGAAATATTTTTAAATTTAGTAGCCTTAGCATAACCTCACTTCTAAGTTCTTATTAATTTTAGTGATCGCATGTACTGGATAGTCCTAGACATAGCTCTGTGCACTGGATGGTCCTACACAGAGAATGCCTCACCATACTATCATTTATACCAACAACAATGTCAAATGCTTTTCTCACTATCCCATTCTTTGGCATCATAATTTTCCTCTCTGACCCAATGTAGGCCTCCTGTCAGTTGATTCTACTGTTTTCTCACTGTACCTTGTATATGTCATATTCTCTTCCTTTCCTAGTCTACAGTGCGTTATTTAAAAAAAAAAAAAATCAGTGACCACGTGATTCTCTCCACCTGACTTGTATAGGGAACTCCACTACAACTACCTATTCCATATGTGGACCTAGCACCTGATTGTACTTAGAGAAACCAAACCTTCTGTCTTACTTCAAATTCTTGATTCTGATCTTCCAATCATGCACGGGCATTGCCAATCCAAACGTTCATTTTCCTGATCAATTTACCTCTCGTTTTACTACAGAACATATGTCTGTCTTCAAATTTCTCATTTCTTCCTCAGTTCATCTCTTTGAGAAAGTTGGCTTTTCTGTTTCACTTAGTAGGAAAATATCAAAGCAACCCTCATTTACACGCTCCACTATATAGCTCAATATCGATAACCACACATTCTGTCTTTAAAGGAATAATTCGTGCCTTTAAAGGCAACACTTCCCACTTGTATGCTCCTTCTATTCACTATGTAACTTTCTGAAGGGCAGGGCTCCTGAAGACATTGTCCTTGGTGTCCTGGTTCATTAGTCTAGCTTCTCTGTTTTATCATTCCAAATAGACAATGAGCATCCTATAATGCCTTCAACCTTAAGAGGATTTTGATCCTCTTCCAGAGGTCCCATTTCTGTGTTTGTTTTTCTATGATATGTTTGAGCAAACACATTTGCATACCGCATTCTCTTTTGAAGTCACTATCAGTTTCAACTGTATTCCTAAACAAAGGCAGAACATCAAGGGCTATAATATTACCAAAAGATAATTCATAGTTACTTAATTCCAGGCATGAAAATTCCATTTTACTTGAACAATCAGTAGAATTTTATGTGATGGTCTGTTCTCTTTTTCCAGATTCCTGCACACAGTCATTTGGTTTAAATAAAAAGGAAATCGACCCAACTATTATTCAAATATACAATAATACTAATAATTATGCACAAAGATACAGTTTTGATTAAATATTTAGTCATCAACTAAAATACCCAGTTTTCCTTTATAAACCAAGCTCTCAAGTTCACATTCAATAACAACTGAGGACGTGGCACCAGATATTGGCACGTTTCCTATGGTATATACCATAGGAATACTGCCCTAGATCTTTTAATTAAAATGTCATAGCTAAGTGTGGTAGTACATACCAATTGAGGCACTGGGGAGTGGAAGTAGGAATATTCGAAGTTCAAACCCAATCTGGGTCACACAGCATGACCATGCCACAATTCAGGAATTAACTAAGTAATTAAAAGGTATAAGTCAGTGTCCAGGTCTACACATTTCAAACATTCTCATCTATTTCCATATATGTCAGAAAGGTATCCCTACATAGAGTTTTTCTCAAATGATAAGTCTCAGTGAAAAATGGTAGACAATATTTTAAGATATATCATAGCCACCATCATATGTTTATATGTGTATTCAGTGTATTTGTGTATGTATAATATATGTATCTATTCCTAAATAAGCCTCATAATCATACATAGCATAAGCTAGACTTTTTCTCATTAAAAGTACTGAAATAAAAGAAAATTTAAAACATGAATGTAACTCCATATTTGACTGGAAACAGAATAATGTGATGAAAGTTTGGATAAATGAACAGAAAAGTCTTAATAAAAGGGTTACAATCTTTATTGTGGTCTCAGTCCCTTCATAATGTTGCCACAAAAACAGTGGGCCATGTGATAGACTTGAATTTGACTTGAATTTATGAAATATTAGAGTTGATCTATGGAAGGTGGACTTGCCATCCCCTCTTTGTACCTTATTATACCAAGATCCATTTCAAATCATTATGCTTAACTTTCTCAATATTCACATTCCTATAGCACAATATTTTAGATTGTAGATCTACAGCAAGAAAGATATATCTTAGAATCCTGTTTCCAAAATTAACTGCATATATAGCTATAAATAAATCATTTACCATTTCTGAACACCAGTTAAAAGGAATTTCATGTGGTCCAACAAAATGTAAGTGTGACACAAAATGTTAAGTGTGCACATCAGTCATCCTGCCCTTAGGAAATGCTGTTGTGTGTTCTTTGGGATGATGATGGTAGTGGTGGTGAGGATGTGTGTATTTAGTCCACCTCTTCTCAGAAATTCGCAGTTCCCGTCATCATATGAACTGTTCGGTCAAAAGTGCTCTATGAATTTTTAAGTCTTCCGTAATTTTTTCCTGCTGCAACTATTAAGCACAATATCTGCTCCTCATAAAAGTATATTTTTATTCTCCAATCAATCATTTATTCATAAATATTCTTCTGTGATTTAAATTTCTTTGATCCACAAAACCATTTCTGCCAACTGCTTCTACAAATAATATTGTTTTGCTTTTAGAATTTCCCATTTTCATTAAGTTTTCAATACTCATATCAAGAAGTTGGACTCTTTCAACAGTTCCCATATTCCTTTTGTGCTAAAATCCTTGCTAAAAAATTTTTCAATGCTTTTTGGCAGGATTCAATGAACTTTGAAATATCAGCACAAAATATGATACTTCTTCAGCTAGATGTGACTTAAGATCATTTTCATATATTTAAGAAACACAGTCATCGTTGTGGCTTCAATGATTAGATAAACACACAAACTGGGAGGCCACACCCACGGCAAAGCAGAAAAGGTCACGTCCCAGAGATTAGGCAACTATTGAATCCAATGGCAATATCTTTAAAGCCGAAGAGAAACAATGAAATAATTTATTATTTCAAAAGGAAACAAGTTTAGAGATTTTGGGGAAATCAATAGTTCTTTTATAAAACATTTAAGTAGATTTATTGATATTTTAAATCCATATTGCAAAAATCATGCAAAACATACAAATATCTCACTAGCTTCATCATTCTTTAATAATTTAATACTTTTCCAGACATATGGGGAAATGGGAGAATTCAAGTCCCTTTAATTTATCTGTGAGGATATTTATGGATGACAAGGTGGTTTCTTAGCAACAAAATATATTTGCACAAATTTGTAAAACTCTCTACCACAGAAGAGATAATGAAAACCGTCTTCACATGATTTTTAAAAAAAGAGAGTGTTTTGGATAAAAACATGATTACTATGAAATATAATTATATCCTTCCATACCATAGAATCCTTAATTTATGAATATGCATTTTTTATTTAGGATTACTCTCTTATTATTTAAAAAATTTAACATTTTTGATAATTTATTTTTGCTTAAACATAAGGAAATGCTATTCGATTTAAGAGAATTTTTTTCCTTTAGTGCTGTAGCTTTTTGTCAGTATGTTTAAATGTCAATTTTGTTTTTTCAAGTAAAATACCCATTTTATTTTGTGTCCTTATTTACTCCACACTATGCACATAACAAAAAAAAAAAAAAAACCAGCACTTAGTGCTAAGTTTAAAATACACTTTTCTGTTAATGGTGATATGAATTTAGCATGAATACTCACAAAAATTAAAAGTGCAGAGAGTGGACACACCTTTATCTTCCTACTGTTAGAAAATAGATTATTTTAAACATATTAACTAACTCATATATAAGGAAAACTAAAAAGTAAGGGATCAGTATCAACGTACTCTACAACTGTCAAAACTTAGAGTTTAAATTCTTACCTGCGTTTTGTTTGGTATGCAGTTATTTTTTAAGACAGTAAATTGTATGGCAGGCTCTCAGAATAAATCACACCCGGAGTAGATAAATGAGAGAGAAAGGAAAGAAGCCAGGTCTGCTTCACCAACAGGAGTTCTGCTCTGTACCTCGTAAGTAACTGTCTTTTTCTTTTGCTCTGAGAACAACACACACTCTGCTCCAGCAGGAAAAGCATAGAAGTTAAATAGAAAACCACAAGGTTATGAAACACTCTTACCCTCTGGGCTTGCAGGGCTGCTCTAGAGTCTCTGTTGCAGGCACGTATAAACAACAGAATTTCCTGTATCCTTTTCTGTGTGCAGCCCTAGCTCCCAGCCAACAGGATTATCCCAGCCTGAGGACGCTCCACACTAAGTCAGAAAGAACTCCCATTGGTTGTTAAGTTTTATCAAAACCAATGCACTTCTCTCTTAGGAACACAAGTGAGTTCACTCAAATAAAATCACATTTAATGCCCCTTATGTATTGTTATCCAATGCTTCCCAGAATACCCATTTAAAAATGTGTACTGTGGGTAGAAAGGAAAAATTCATCAACTGATCTTCAAAAATATTTAATATTTAATAGCAAGCACTTATGATTATAATAAATCTAAAATTATATTGGCAAATATAAAGCTCTCAAAGCTCATATCTGCAAAATATTTTAAAAATTGTACTACATATCAAAGCAAAAATAATAACATTTGGTGAATTTGATTATTAGGTATTAGAATGCCAAAACTCATATCTAATACAACATTTGAGTATGCAAATCATAATACTACAAAAACAGAGCATGAATCCTTTGATCTCCGTCATGCTGGCAGGGACTGTGTGGCTCAGTCCCAGGGCCCTCAGCAAGAGCTCTCTGACCTCTTCCCCTGGGGAGAGAAAAATGGAATGGCTTCCCAGTGATGTGACTCAGCTGTCAGGAAGGGCTCTGTTGAAGGATGGGGGCAGACCACATAAAAGGGAGAGCTCCTGGTTGAAAAGACTGATGTGCAATATCCAAAGGAAGAGAGAAAAGGGACAGAGGAAATGCAGCCAATATGGTCTTCATTTGTGAAGTGAAAGAACATATTTATTCAAATTATTTTGTCCCTCCATCTTTCAAAGTTGAAAGATTGTTCTTAGCTGGGTAAGATGTAGCATGTACTCCTACCTGACAATATTCTTTCCTTATGATTTCTTGACATGGTGGGAAAGAAAACCATCAACCCATATGAAGCCAACTATTATGTACATTTGAAACTGTCAAAGATAATAAACACAATGCCAACTAGCCCATTAGAGCTAATCTTGCTAATAATGCTTCTCTTCCCTTTGTCTTTGAACTCTCTCTTGTGTGGAGTTTCCCTTGGTGTTAAATGCCATAAATTCTTCAGTTTTCATTAAGTCATTTCCACTTCTACCTTGGGCACAATTGTTAAAATGCTCTCCCAAGCCCTGAATCCCACATAATACTGAATTCACCTTTATAGTTTTATAAATTTTTAATGGTTACAAACTTCTCTTTGTTTTAATTGACAGCTACACAGCCTTGGCAACCTTCACAATCCTACCCAAGTGAAGATTTGTCTTTGCACAACAATCTCCTGTTCCCCATTTCTAGCACTCTTTTGTCTGTATCTTGTGGTCCCTGTCACAAGGCATTTCCTGGGAAGATGGGTTCAAACAGCTATTAATCCCAGATAGGGTATATGCTACAGATCAAAGAAATGATTCTGCCCAGATCTAATTTAGTGAACTGTGTGTCAGTTTATTGGGGCTACTTACAGGAACGTGGATGACTCAAAGACACCTGTAACACTGAAAAGTCCATGCCTATGTGGGAGATGACTCATACAGCTGATGATACCAATATGCCTCCCTGAAACTCCTTGCTGAACCTGCAGACAGCTCAGCATATTGCAGTTTTCTCTGCCCAGCAGTAGTTACTGCTTATATCACCTTAGTGAGCGCCCTATACATGTGTCACTTTCAGAAGCTTTCAGACTCTTACAAGTTTCATTTACTTCCTGGGAGTTGTATGTTTCTTTCAGAGTCTTATGAGCCTCCTTCCATCTCTCTGGAATGCTTTAATTCAGATAAAAAGCTATACAACCTTCCATCCCTTCTTATGATTCTAACATTCCTTTTCTTCCTTCTTTAATTTTTTTTTGTCTTAGAGGGAGTGATATTGATACCTGACTGTCTGTTTTCTTCCATGATTGAGCATTGGGACATTATGCTACTGCAAGTATTACTTGTCTTCAGTACCTTGACTGGTTACAGATCTTTACAGTACATAATCAATTGCAAAAGAAGTCTCCCTCCATAACTAAGGCCAACTGCAGCAGTAACCTACACATATAAAAATGTTTAGAAAGCAATTTTGCAGGCACATCACATTCCTTTAACAAAAGAATGCCAGTTGCTTCCTTAGTGGTACTTGTGACTACCCTACCCAAAGGTGTTTGTCTTAAAGTAATAATCCTAAATTCTTCCCTGTAGCTTGAGCCTCGATCCAATCTGAATGTACTTGGTTACCCTAGTAACAGTCATGTCACAGTTTCAGTAGTGAGCACATCTTACCAAGCACGCTGGTAGTGTAACACACAGGGTCCATATTTAAGAAAGACGATTGGTGACAATTCACCTTCAGAAGCCCTGGTGGTGCCTTCTGGCTCTGTAGGTAGAAAACTTCAAATTCAGTACCATCCTGATTTCTTCATGATCTTCAACCAAACCATATGGTGTCTTCAACAACAGAGAGTTACCTTGTAGTACTGGCATGCAACCAACAGCAGTGTTCATAATCTTTATTTTCTGGGATTTTTGGGGCCTCTCTGGTCACAACTTGCACGGAGGTAGCTAATTCCTGGACCTGAGATTTTTGACTCAATAATGTTAAGACTTCTGGGAGTGCCACTCATTAATCCAGAGTGTCTCCATTTAAATTTTATAGCTGATATCTTTACTGTCCTTTCCAATATGTTTGCCAGTCTGTAAGACATTCGAAGGTTAGCATTATTATGGAAGTCTTTTTATAGAAGATGGACTGAATTGTGAAAGCCTATCATAATTCAAGTAAATGTCAGTTAGCCATGGGTAGCTAAGGCTTTACTGAAAAAGAAATATCTAAATTCAATATAGCAGAACAAAATTTCATAATTTGCACTAAATGTTTCACCAAAAGAGCAAATTATGATATGGCAATATGAATGGGGAACACTACTCCATAGAGCCCTCCATAGTCCACAGTCATTTTCCATGAGCTGCCGGCCTTCTCGTCATGGAGCACTTACGTGGCAGTGGGCTGCTTTGTGCCTTCCTAACCCAGATGGTCTCTGTGGGGTCAGCATAAGTCACTCGACCTAGTTCAGGCTCAGGGGGAAGCAAGGCAAATTCTGACCTGCACGTCTTCTGCTGTAGCCGACTCCCTTATTATGACAGGATGCTTCACACCACCAAGGCTGTGGCCTTTCTATGGGCCACACCAGAACGCTGAAGGAGCTAAAGACAGGATGAACAATTTTCATTCCCAATATTCCCCAATATACTTTCTTGCAGAAGAGAAATGTATACTGCATGTTCTAGGGGGATAATTTCCCAAAATAGGTCAAATTCCACCTTTGAAATCTGTGTCTGACCTGTTGCTAGAGCTATGAAGCTTCTCAAGAGTGCTCTAGCAGTTTTCTGTCCTTTTTATCCATAGGAACTTCAATTTAAGAAACTCTTGCCACATTTGCCTTCAAGTGATTTGGAGAGGCCCTTCTGTTTTGCCCTTAGGGCCTGTTTTTCATCCCCTCTTGATTTCTTGATTGCTTTAACACTTCAGGAATCCAGTTTACATGCTGGTTTAAATTTTCACTTCCATCTGCCAAAGCCTCTCCTACTTCATAAAGACCTTGTCTCACCACAGGGCTCAGCCAAACCACTAAAGCCCTGTTGCACTCTGAAAGACAGCCTGATTAACTTTTTCTTACCTCTCCAGTGAACAGTCATCTCTGCCATGAAACTATGCATCGAAAACCACGTCTCTCATACTAAATTTCATCAACAAAGTGTATGTTCCTATTGCCATCCAGGTTCTGAGATGAATTGGTGATAACTAGGAGTCCCTGTCAGAGACTGGTTTCCCTTGCTTTACTTCAAGTTAGTAACCCTGGTCTTAAGAGGGGGGATGGCAATTAATAACTCAGTTTCTTTATTTCCATAGCACTCAGACTGATCCAATCTGATTCATGGACTGATCTATATCCTACAAACTTACTGAGCCAAATTGTGACGGTCTTTCCTTATTTCTTTAAGTCTTTCACAATTCAAGCAGTTTCGAGGTTGGGAATTCCCTGATTGTCACAGTTTCTTGCACTGGGTCATTATTAAAGCTGTTGTCTCCATGCTGAATTATGCATTTTCTCTTTTGTTGTTTTCTTCTTCTTCACTCTTCAATTCCTCCCATAGTTTCCAAGTTTTTGAATCTCAGGAAGCACTTTTTAACATAGATCTAATTTCTTTTCCATTTCCCTCCGATTTGGCCAGCTATAAGAAATGGCAAGTCAAAGCCTCCATCTCATCTTCCTTTTTTCCAACTTTCCCTGCCAAATTAGAGTCAAATGCAGAGAACAGCATCTGTATGTCTTTTTCCCTTTGCATATTCTTCCCTCACTCAGGCAAGTTCTTTCTATAAAGACAACTGAGCCTCGTTTCCATGTTTTATAGCCCACAGCAAAGGCAATACCCGATACCACAGCCTGCTTAAGATCCTGTTCCATAAATGCTGCTGTCAGGGATATAGTCTATTCTTTAGTATATCAATAATTTGGCAGCATTAACATATTCCTGTGATAAACCGTTTCCATCAAGGAGACATGCCATCCCATGCCATGTAGAGGATGACGGTCTCTTGGGATTTTCCCAGGATGATCCATTCTTCGATGTCCCAGCCTTTGTTGCATGTCCTATTATATATTGCAGGGCACATGCAATCACCATTACAATAAGCAGGCCCACCATCTCATACCAAAAGGAAAGATGGTCATTTTAAAATTGGCACTTGGCTGCTCCACCTTCACCTCAGCTGCATGTCGCAGCATCCCTGGCAAGAAATCACAGGGCCACTCCTCCCCAATTCATCAGTAGTCTTGTCAAGTCACTGTTCAGCCACCAATTGTTTTGTGTGACTTTTCCTGGGCGAAATAAACAAACATTTATTCACCTCTGGTAAGTTACCAATG